AGATGTAAAATAAAATTTTAAACGAAACGAAAATCAGATTTCTATCAGAACATTAATTTCTTATTCAACAGTTTTACATATTTATGGTAAATTTTTTGTGGAAAGAAATAGTGAGTATATCTAATCTTTATAATGTCAATTTCCACTGCCATATTTAAGTCCAACAATAACAAAAATAAAATAATAAAATCTAGCGTAACCACTTTTAAAATTCAACAGATGGCTTGGCAACAACACTGGCTTAAAAACGTCCACGTAAAAAATAATTACTTGGATTACGTATGTATATAAAAACCAAAAATGTGCATTAATATTAATAATTATTATACAGGGTGTGCTAGAAATAAGTACCTAAATTTTAGATTACACTCGTAATTCAGAAGTCAGTAAGGCACGGTTCTGTTAGAATCATTTTTTCTTAATAAACAGTTCATATGCATCCGCCGTACTTGTGTCCAACAAGTCCATTACAAAATGTAGGATATTCCTATAGAGCATAATAGTAAAGCGTAATGCATAATAGTAAATTCAATAAATAGCAAAAAAATTAATGTAATGAAATTCGGTATAATATTGAGTACTTATGTGCGCATCCTGTGGTTAAAATTAAAATTTCTCTTCATCTGATTATGCATCATGGTGTATTGAATCTCAACTTTAGAACATCTTATTCAGAAAAACCCTGTATTTAATATAACAATGAATACTCAATTAGCAATTAAAGAGGTCGCAAATTTTTTGGCGGTCTTCTTGGTTAGGAATAGATTTAATTTAATGAATACAATTTTAATTCAAATTTAATTAATACAGAGAACATTGTATCCAGTCTTTTATTATTTTTCTTATGGAAATAAATGTATTTGAGGGTTCTATGCATCCGTTCCAAATGCATGGGTATTTGTATTCAAACTTGAACGTAATCTGTAACAATAAGCTCATGACTCAGTAGATGTTAGATATTCCTTTTGAAAATATTACCCAAATAGCTTTGTCGCAGAATCTCCTATTAAGTGAGAAATGGCTGACTTGGTCATAAAATTATAGGCATTTCTCTCAATTTCTTCTAAAACTGTACGCAGTGTTTTATACGTCTGAATTTGATTCTCTTTTCCACAAATTTTAGTCACATTTTTTCTCCAGGTTCTACGTGCCAAGTACAGAACAGCCTTTTTTCAGGAGCACCAAATACATTAACATATGCATTAAAATAATCATCCCCCCAGGGGGGATATACAGGGTTATTCACGCTATACGGCACGGAAGTTTGCGACTAACTAATTGTCCGACGCCTACCGAGCGCACATTTTAAAAAT